GGCATATACCGGTCATTAATTAGGCAAAGCCCTCATATAATTATATCACCAAATATTCACTATTTCCTACACTATGTAATCAATATTGGTCCCTCTTTAGGCATAGCCTCATATAAGTTTGTAGTCTAAATTACAGTAGTTTGAGGATTTTATACTCTACAATGCGTTATCAATATCAGTCCACTATTTGGATCTTACAGATTTTAGGAAAAATCCCCATTAAAAATTGCTGAAGTTTGTATTTGATGTACATAATGGTTTAGATAAATCGGTTTGTAGAATTATCGGTATATGCCCACTTTTTGGTATGTTCCCAATATTTTCATTGCATATATCTGTCAGTATAACTATGGTGGAGGGTATCCAAAGTTCGGCCCGGCCGAACTTAACGCTTTTTCACTTGTTTATATTAAAATGATTATCTGATTTGTTCCGCGTTTTGAGTTTGGTTCTAAGACTCTGATGTAATCATTTCACCTGCGGAGGATATCGAGATAAAAAAGTAGAACGTAAGGTTCGATAATGAACTATAACCCGCATTAAGACCTAGTCCCTGTATGGAGGTTCCAGACAAATTGGACCGATATTCCCCATCTTCGAGTTTGAACTAAGATTGGAAGATATAATAAGATGGACAAACTTTGGATGAAATCTAAATTTTTTGAAGCGCATTTGGTCCAAAGATACATGGGGTCTAGAATCGATATTTCAATTAGCCACAGTGTATAATTATCGATTAAAAATCACTGAATTTTTTATTATGGTTTACATAATCCCTTTTTAGAAATGTCGGTATAGGTCCACTTTTTGGTATGTTCCTCATATTTTCATTTCTAGTACCTGTCAGTATATCTATGGTGGAGGGTATCCAAAGTTCGGCCCGGCCGAACTTAACGCTTATTTTCATTGGTTCACACACTTAATTTCGCCCGATTCCAATTTAATGGTCCTCCCAAGATGCTAAGTCTGTTCTATCTACAAAGTGGTGAAGGGTATTATATAGTCGGCCTCGTCAGACTTTTAAACTTTCCTTACTGGATTTATTTGGGGCTTAAATATTGATTATCACAATCATAATAACCCATTTGAGTTGTACCAGATAAACTAAACTTATAGTTCAAACAGACGGACAATCATAAATCGATACAGAATTTTATTCCGATCAATAATATACTTTATAGAGTCTCCTGTGAATATTTCTTGGCGTTATATATTTTACAAAAGTCGACGTGTTTGGTTGTATTTGTCCAAGTTTAGTTATAACTCCTAATTTCACTATCAAGAATTAACTAATTTGGTCCATACTTAGGTATTCGAACTCTGTACAGCTGTATGATTAATTCTGGTACACTCTTCAAATGGACACGATATTGAAAATTGAATTGATCTCTGCACAGAAAAACTGTATCATTATAAATGAAAAAGTAAAAACAGCGTCATTTCAGTAAAGCAAAAAATATACAAACCTTTTTTCAGCCCACAAGTTATTATTAATTAAAAAATACATAATTTTTTTATTAAATACTATTTTATTTCGTAATAATATTGTGTTGGTTTTCGCATTAAATTAAATTAAACTTATTTTTATTTTTATGTTTTTTATTAACACATAAATTATTTTTTCAATTTCATTATTAAGATGTTCGCTTAATTTGTTATGAATTGTAATTTGATACAATTACGAATGCTATGCGATTAAATTTCAAATTATATATTAAATTAAATTAAAAAGTGTATTATATTGCAGATAGATATATATTATTTTTGCACATTTGTATGAAGTGTTGTTGTTGTTTACGCTTAAAATGGTCATTTATCTTAGTTGACAATAAAATCTAATTAATTATGTACAGAGACAGAGGTGTGACTGTCCAAATGACAGACCCCATTGAATAACCCACCAAACACATTTGGCAATGCGAATAGAGAATTTTCTATAATGAAAAATTCATTCAAGTTGTTTTAGGAAATGGTAACCGCTTTACGACTATTAGCTGTAGCGAATCGATCGATTAAATCCTCCACACGGCAACAGTTCGAAGTAAATAAGTTATTCAACACCGCACTTAAATAGGGAATTTATCACAGTAATAAATGTTTACCTAATGCTAATTACAAAACGTAAAACGATAATTTATGTTCTGTTAACATATTTGTTTAGTGTTTTATTTTATTTTTATTCAAATAGTATTCATTTTTTATTTACGTTCAAAAATATATATAGTGGACATTAATTCTTAAGAAAATATATTTAAGTTACAAACAAACACATACATACATATATTTGACTGCTTAACCGTTAAAGAAATTTGCACTTAACCCATTGGTCTGGTTTGCTGTTGGTAAGAACTGATATTCAAATTAACTGAAAAGAGAATGTGGAAATAGAAGATGTGTAATTTAGATAATATTATACAAATTCTCAAGGTTGATATAGTAAAAAATTAAAAAAAAAAAATATATATAGTAACATGGTTGTAAAGAACAGAACGGGACATTGAAACAAATCTAGATTAACAATTAAAGTCTATATTTTGAAATAGCTCCATATATATGAAATTTTATCTATGGTACAGAATTTATTTGTCGTTTTGATTACATCTATTCTTCTTTGTTTTGCCTAGTATTGATTTTTCTTACTTAAATGCTATTTGTTTTGCGTCATTATACCAATTATATACAATATTAAATTTCGGTTCAGCTTATTGCTCGAAATAATTTGGAAAATACATATGCGAATTTTATAACAAAAATGCAAAGGTCCTTAACAGCGTATGAAGTGGTGGATTGCAAAACTTGCCACAATTGAGTTAGCGGAGAGATTATAAACAAGAGAAACAGTAGACAAATAAACGGTTACAAAAATAACAACCACCAAGTGAGGAGACATACAGAGAAAAATACCAAAACAGAACACTTTCGAACAAAGAGTGGTGGTGGCTTTTTTCTTGGGAGGAATACATTTGTTTTCGTCAAAAGAGAGAGAGAGAAAGGAAAAAAACGAAGTATGAAAATTGTTTTGATATTCATGAAATGTTTACATTTTTTGGATAAAATAGTGGCTTTCTCAATTTTAAAAGAGAAAAAAATAAACGATGAATGAAATGATGAAAATATTCATTCAATTTTTCTTGCATAAATACTCATAGTGTTGAAAGCCCTTTCCTTGATGTTTTATTGGTAGGGTCATTTTGTTATAGCCCACATATGAAGTATTTTGAAGTTTACAACCAATCATGGAATTACGACTTTGTACATACAATTACATTCCTCTGCGGATAGAAAACCTACTGAAAACATATAAACATTTAGGAAAGTTGGTCCTATGCGATATACAAAATTCGCAACATCAATTTGAATTTTAATATATTAATTCCTTAAAACAATTTTTATACCCTACACAACTACGTTGTCAGGGTTTTATAGCTTTGTGCAGCCCCAAAAGTTTGTAACGCCGCGAAATATTGGTCCTAGACCCACCTTTAAGTATACCGATAGTCATATCTCGACTAGCTGAGTCGATCTAGACATGTGTATCCGTCCGTCCCTCTGTCCATTATAACTTCTAAACACGATACAGGCCACAGTTATTGACCAATCTTCACGAAATTTTGAATGTAGGATGGGTTCTGGCCAATGAAGACCCCTATTGTTTTTTGTAAAGATCGGGTTATATTTAGGGGATGAAATGGACCAAATACCCAATTTTTGTCCGTTTTTCTGGTTGCTCTAGAGGCCTCAATTATGGCCCAAACATGGTGAATTTTTACATGGAGAAGGAGATCGGTCAATATTTAGCGGGTCAAATGGACCGTGACTTTTGTGTAAAAAATGACAAAATTTGTTCTCTATGCCGTATATATTTACTCCTGAAGGACAAAGACCCGAAAAGTTGATAGTATATCCAGGAGGAGTGGTTGACCTTTAAATTGATACCAACTATATTGTCGTATGTACTCGGATGTGGAAGTCACACTTAAATATTTACAGGTGCTTACGTATTCAGAAATTATTTACTAACCCATTAGCATACTAGAGGGCGGAAATATAGCACCAATCGCTTTGAAAGTTTCCGTGATGATCAAGGTATGGTCAAGGACAACGCCTATAATGTTCGGTGATGATCAGATACTAATATTGGGATGAAGTGGACCGAAAACTTTATTTTTTGTTTTTTCGAATCGATATATAGGCCACAATTGAAAGCCGAGCATCGCAACACAACCCACGGTGAAGGAAATCTGGATAAGTAATTAGAAGGGCTGTAATGAATATTAATAATATTTTTTGAACTTTTGTCGGTCAAAATGGTGCAAATATCGCGATATAATGCCCATGTTTATAATATAGAAAGGTAGGGTATCATATGGTCGTCCCCGTCCGACTATACTGCTCCCCTCACTGGTTTTTATAAATAACACAGAAATATAAAATGGGTTGTAACAAAACTCTAATTTTACGTACCTATTAGGTGTATCTCTTATATAAGCACCTATCTTATTACTGAGTCTGCTATTTTAAACGGGCTGGACAAAAGTGTTATGTTGTTGGCTAAAAAGAAAAATTAAAGTTACAAAAAGGTACATTAAAATTTATAGCTTCGAAATATCGTAAACTAAATATTGAGAATAGAAAAAAATCCTAAAAATTTCAGTTAGACGATTCTAAGGAAGTTTTGATAGTCCAGCACTTAATTTATTATTCAAAGGTTGTTTTAATGCCGAATGAAATAATAGGTTCTATTTTTACTATAAAGATATTATGGCTTTTAGGTTTATATATCATTTAATGACTTAATCATTTATATATCACATAGAAACTGTGATTATTTTGAAAAGTCGAATACCTTCAACAAATTTACACAGAATATACACTCTTTCGATAATGCACTGATTTTGAAATAATCGAAATAATCACCAAACATTAGATGATATACATCTGTCAGCAGAACCCTACGGTTCTTACACATTTTACGTGTTGACAAATTTGAATTAACTTACCTTTTAAATATCGATTTGTATACCAATTGTTCTGGATCATGTGAGGACGCCGATCCGGAACTGCATGAACTGCCAACAGAATTTTCATCTCTTGGTGAATAGTCGCCATAGGAACGATTGTAACCGTTGCCATAGGTATTACCCTGAGGATGGTGGTTACTGCTGATGTTGTGGCAGGTAGCGGTCATATGGGCTTGAGTAGCGGTAAGCAAGAGATTCGTGGCCAACTGAACGTTCGGTATTTTCATATTCGGTGGAGTTTGGGGTGGAGTATCTGGTTGGGCTTCGGGAAACCCCATCCCCCGCTGGTGAGTCGTGGAGGGTGTTCGTTGTTGTTGCTGCTGTTGTTGGGTATGATGGACGTTTGGGACTTGCGTTGTAGTAGGCGGGGCGTTGGGAGAAAGCTGTTGAGAGTTGGACTGATGTGGATTGCTGTGGTGATTGTGATTGTTGTTGGAAGTGGATTGGCTGCTGCTGTTGTGATTGTTGGTTGTATTGCTGATGTTGTTGCTGCTGTTGTTGTAAGGAGGCATATTGTTGGTAGCCATAGCCCCTAGAAAATTCTCGTAAGCTGTAGAGGGCCCCCGTGTATAGGGATTTATGCTGTAGTTTCCACTCATCATATTGCTGCTGTTGTTGTTGGTACTTTGTGAAACTGCCGGTATTAAACTGCTCATTTGCTGCAACTGCTGCATAGGATGCGACTGCTGCTGGTGCGACATTTGTTGTTGTTGCTGCTGTAGATTTTGCCTCTGCTGCTGTTGCAGATGACTCATGTAGGCTGCCGAGTGTAGTGGTGGTGTTTTGCTGGCGACTGTGTCGGCTAAACTCCAGATTTTCGGCTTGCTGGCTGGAATTGGTACGCCACAGTCCCGGCTCATGGGGTTTTTTGGATCGTTAACATCGTGTTTGCCAATCAAACTCTCACCGCTTGCATGTGGATAGCTGGAAGAGAACATTGACTGTTGGTGTTGATAGTAGGCCGGATGTTGATGATAGGGATGATAGCTATGCGGATGACTGGAACCAGGATAACCAGAACCGGGGAAATTTAAACCCATACGCAAATCGCCAGGATGATTGAGGGATTTCATTTGATGATCTTCATCTGTGGAATCGTGTTTGTCGAGATCTATTTAATGAAAGAGATAAACAACAATATCAGATTAGAGCCATAAAATACAAGAAACAAAGGAAAAAACCCAGGAAAAAAATGAGTCGGAGAACCCATAAAGTCTATATTCATATACAGTAGATGTCGGATATAAGCACATAGCACATCGCATATAAGAAAGATTATCAAAAACTTCGAGCTCATACTTTCTTATGTCCGATTCCACATATAAGAAAAAAACGCATATAAGAAAGAAATCTCCGGCTTTTTATGAGTTTCTTATATCCGATATCCACTGTATACGAACAGAACAATATTCTACGCCATGCTAGTGGTCGAAACAACTACTTCTACTACGTGATTATTACAAATTGGATACATCGATCCACGTTTTGGCATAGTGTCCTCATATAAATAACGTCCAACCTCATTTTTAGATTTTTGATGAAGAAAAGGCTTTTTCGTATTTAATATTATCATAAAACTTTGCCTAGTCTCGAAATTTAGTATTGTAAAATGTATAAAGCCTATAGCTTCTGGTTTGGGTATCACATGATTTGCACCAACCTTACTTGTCCCACATTCAGAAAGTCCATTAAACAATATTAATTTTTGTGTACTCACCCTTTCTACCAGCCAATTGACCCATTTGAGAATTTCCCGAGTGCATTGATTGCCCTTTAGCCGGCTCATCATCTTTGTCATCTTTATCGTCATCCGAATTGATGCCATCATCATCGTCATCGGTACGATTCTTGGGTTCCCATGTCATTTTGTTTTCCTTTTTCAGTCGTCTTCGAGCATTCGCAAACCAGGTGGATACCTGAGTCAATGTCATTTTCGTAATAATGGCTAACATTATTTTTTCTCCCTTTGTCGGATAGGGATTTTTCTTGTGTTCATTTAACCAAGCTTTCAAAGTGGCCGTTGATTCCCTGGTGGCATTTTTGCGTCGAGCTGCCAAATCGTAGGATGCTCCGTAGCTGTAAGAATTAAATTGAATTAAATTATATATTAAATTGTTTAAATGTGAAAGAAATTTAACAAAAAATTCTGCTTAAATTTAATTTTGGATTCTATTTAATTTCCAACCAGGATTATCCCTACTTTTGAGTAAGGATGTACTCCACCACTGTAACCAGAGTTTGAGTTTTTTTTCCTAGACCATTTCTGTTTATTTCTTATCCTCTAGCCGTTCGCTGTCATTGCCTTTTTTGTTTTTGTCCAGCGGTTTTTATACACTTCATTTTTCATGGGATTTTTTATGGCTATTTCGCTCCTCCGGTTTGTTGGCCATACATATCCCATTGGAGCAACAACTTTAAGAACCACCACGCACACACACAACGTATGTGCATGGAATTTAACAATCTCGTAAAACCAGAGGAGATGTTGTTTCCTAGAGTTCCTTGTTTTGTTCGTTTTATTTTCGCACTGTTTTTATGGCCGATGATGTGGTCATGTTAACGCCAAACCTTAGCAAGGACCATTGCCCACTTATTATGCGTTGCATGATGTCCATTGCAATATTGTTGGCGTTACTTTCCCAGCAGTGTTGTGAATGGTAAGCAGCTGCAGGAGCAGCAGTTTATTTCAGTTGTGATTTTTTGTTGCCCAGGAAAGATTATCTTTGTATGTGTGTGTCTTTATAATTGAGAAAATCATTTTAATCATTATTTACCCAAAAAATTAAAGACATAGATAGTTGATATTTTCATTGAGAACACATTCAGTAATTTAAGATGAATACAACTGTTCAGATTGCTAGGTGTATTAAAGGTGCAGGATTGATATTTGTGGCATATTTTTCGCCATCTTGGAATTTAAGTGTGGAGTTTGTAATAGATTTACGCCATTTGTAAATCTATTACAAATTGGGTCCAAAGAAACATTAGGTCTAAAATCAATATTTCAACTTGTGGTAGCAACGTGTATATATTCTAATTAGCCATATGGATGAGGGTATTATATAAGCAAAGTAGCAAAGTTGGAAGTTACCCAAAAATTGAAACTTGAAAAATTATAGAAACTCAAGAGAAATAAAAAAATAATAAAATTCGAGGGACCGGGTCGTACATTTTATACCCTCTACCACATGGGTGCATTAAAAATTCCTTAAGTCGATCGAAACGTTTATGTAAGGACAATGTTATGGTGTTACGTGATAGAAGGTTGTTGACGCTCCGAAAAAAACAAATAGTAGTCAAAATTACAGAGATTTTAGTTGGAAAACTCAAACGGCTATTTTTAATTATTACATTTATTTTTTTCTTCACCAGGAATCCGATGTGTCAAATTATATTATAGTACGCTATGCTAAATTTCGTGCAAATCGAAAGATATATAAAGACTTTGGTGCACCATTTAATTAAAATCGGACGTAAATATATATGGGAGCTATATCTAAATCAGAACCGATTTTCACAAAAATTAACACACATCATTCTAGTCTTATCATTCTATATATGGACTTTGGTGCACCATTTACCTTAAATCGGACGAAAATATATATGGAGCTATATATAAATCTGAACCGATTTTCGCGAAACTTGGCACACCATTCTAGACTCAATTCAGTACACTATGCCAAATTTCGTGCAAATCGAAATATATATAAGGACTTTGGTGCACCATTTACCTTAAATCGGACGAAAATATATATGGGAGCTATATCTAAATCTGAACCGATTTTCATTAAACTTAACACACATTATTCTAGACCTATTTCATTACGCTGTAAAGATATATAGGGACTTTGATGCACCTTTTACTTAAATCGGAAGCAATACGATGATTAAAGGAACGACAAAAGAT